TTTCAGATATTTCAGATATTTCAGATAGTACATCCCCTCATATCCATACAAGGGAATTTTGGGATGACCCAGCGAAAAGTAAAGGTGGGCCTAAAGAGGTGAATCTAAGTTTAACTTTTTTCTTCTGGTTATCAAGGAAATACCTAACTTCTTTGGAATGTAGGGCCTCTCTCCTTGCAACTTCTTTGCCTGGTACGGATCTAATTTATGGCTTCAGGCATCTGGCTAATTGCTTCTAAGGAAATGGGGGTGGTGGTGCTGTGCTCTCTTAGAAGGCAATCAGGCATTCAAGATAGAGTGCACTATCACATGCATGCCCACACATTATGAGAGAGTGTAAAATTGTGTATCAAAACAATGCCCTTCAATATGAAAGCAGATACAATACTGAGTTTAATAACCCCAGCAATTCTGCTTAAACAACAAAAATCCTGCCATTACTTATGCAACCCTCCGAAAAAAAGAAATAATCTGCAGCTGCTTTATAGCAATCAGAGTTTCAGATGAAAACAGACACTGAATCTTTGCATAGATGCTTTTAGGGCTTATTTTATTTATTACAAAATTAATAGTAATTTATCATGTGCTACAATACTGATTCAACTGCTAATATTTATTCAAGCCGCCAGCCCCCTTCTGCAGGGAAACAATATTCATCTTCTACATTGGCCAATAAAATTCAGATGGCATGATTATAAATTGAACATTTCATATCTTTTTAGGTGACATGAGAAAGGAGCAGAGGACTGTATCTAGCAGGCATAGAGAAAATATGGCCAGAGCCCCACAACAAATAGCTTCATCCCAAATCAAAGCACTATTTCTGGTAATAGCTTTCACTATTGCAAAGGCTTCTATTTCAATGCATTGCTTCACAATTACTCTTCATGCAAAAATAATAAAGCTTCACACCTATGGATTCACATTCAGTGTTCTAGTAAGCCTTTCCCAGGATGAAGGAATTCTGAAGTTAAGTGTAAAAATCATAATGTTTTGCAGTTATTTATCCTGACAAATAGCACAAGGATAGATCTGGACTGAAGGCTAGGAAATGCAAGGCTGATGGTTTCTCCAAACCTGAAAAGCCCCTCTCTCTCTGGCTTACAAATCTGACCAGAGCAGAAGTATCTCCAGGAGTGCATACAAATGTATATGTAATCCTTTGCCTTTGGCCCCTTCTTCCAAACAAGATGGGCTTTATAGCTCCTTTCTAACCCAGAGGACCTAAGAAATTTCACCCTCTCTCTTATCACCTGTAAATGTAATAGCATTTATGGTAAGGGAGCTGATTTTGATGGGAAAAATATCTTGGGAGAAAAGGACTGGCTAAGCCCCTCTTTCTGCCAAGATCTAGCTTGCAACCTGCTCCCCACCCCACCCCCCACTGGTTGCATATTGGATGTCATGAAAAGATGACATGTGCTCAGTCTCCTATCCCCCAGGAATTGTGAAGAAAATGGAATGAACATTAATCAAATTCATAACGTCTTTGGAGAAGGTATGTGATAAAAGACACAGAGACACCATCTACTGCATGTTGTAAAAAATTAAGCCAGTTCAGTTCAGTCTGTTACTATTAAACACAGCATTTTTAGCAGCTCAAATTTGTGATGGGAATAAATGACTGATCAACACTAGCTGTAATAATTGCAAGTACTGCCTTCCTTTCTGGAGATTTTCCCATGGGAATTCAGTTACCCTGACAGAAATATTAGGTTATTTCTGGAAGCTGTAAAGTGTCCTCTGGGGACTGGCTTTCATTTTCATTTCCTGCATGCATCATTTTGATCAGGTATGCAGAATGACATCTTATAGCTCTGTAAATATTCTGTGCAATCCAAACTTAAGTCAAGAAAAACTGCATGTTTCTTTTATAGACTATTTCACTTTGATCATCAATAAGATAATCATAGATGAGTGCAAGTAAAAATGACAGTTATAAAATAGAGGGGACTGCTTAGGATTGTGACATGTGGGGAAATGGGGGGGGGTCTATTTCCCCTAATTTCTCTATCCCAAATCTTAGTGCTGATGTCAGATTTTCTCTTGAGGGAATAGCAACTACTGGAGGGGGAAGATATTTAAAAGGACTGTATGGTATGTAAGCATGGAGAAGAGTTAAGCACTGGCATTTCTTCTAGCCCTGCCCCCAGCTATTATTTCTAAGGAGAAAACAGAAAGTATGCATTTGCATATTTAACTGATTTACTTGGCATAAAAAGTCATAAACAAGTAAGAAAACTTTTGAGTTCCCCAAAAGAACTCAAAAGATTGCCATTGCTAATAGGTGGAGTTAAATATCAAAAAGTAAAGGCAATGTCATGCAAATATCAACCAAATATGATGATTTAATTGTCCCTGAGAAAGGAATTCCCTCTGACAATTGATAACAATTGTTATCTTATGATTATAAGCTCCACACCTAGATTTGAATAACTACATTTTGGTCAATGCTGTATTATTTTCTTTGCAAACACTTTATTTCTAAAAAGTAAGGAGTTCTAGGAAAAGCACTAAGCAGAAATCATCCCTGCACCTATAGTAGTCAAACAATTTGGATATCTGCAATCTTCTCCCACATTTTGCCATAAAACCATGACAATGTGAAGTTTCCATGGCTTCCAAGCTGGCTTTGTGACCTTGGTATACTGTTTAAAGAGTTTTGGTGAACTAGAAAACTTGTAAATTATTTCATATTAACTGGCCTATTACAGATATTGTCTTAATATGGAAGTTGAAATTTCATTAAACTACAATATGATGCAACAACAAACATGCAATGAGCTACCCTTGGCATTACTTTTGGAACACCAAGTAAGTAGCAATCGTTCCTGGACTAGAATGAGAAGGATATCGTACTCTGACTTCTGGCCTCCACCAAATAGGGCATGTCAAACGCTACAAAATTAGTTTGTCCCACTCCAAAAAACATACAAATTGCCTGTGCTAGAGGTGAGATGTGTCCATTTCTATATTGTGAGCACAGTGGAGCGGCTGAACATTATAGCAGCTAAATCAAGAAAGATACTGATGTTCAGCTGTTCCGTGCACTGTTAATAGGAGACATACAGTACACAACAATGGGGTAACAGTGACACATTCCAGCTTAAATCCTCCCATTTTTGTTCAGTGCCCCACACTCCACTTACCCATCTTTAGCAAGATGGTACCTAAAGAAATCATTGGCAGCTAACTTGATGGCTTTTTCTGGAGTCACGAGTGTTAGATTCACTGCAGCCCCTGGACAAGAAGAGAACATAAAGTTTAATTCATCTCTGCATGGTGACAATCAACTGTGCTCAAAATAAAAAGTCAGTCCTAGGAGTGGTATCCACACACAGAAAAAGGCATGTTAAGATTGGCAGCCAGCAAATAGTGGCAAGTACTGTGTTGGTATTTATCCTCTTTCCCATATTGTGTTTGTAACTGTGCTACATAAAGACAGTCTTTCATGCAGCAATGACTGGGAGACAGTTAAACTGTGGAGGAACTTTGTTAGGACTTTTTTTAAAAAGAGGAAGGGTACAATTCTTTCCCAACAGCTGATGGTGGGGAAAGGGAAGTTAATCCTTGGACAGGGTAGGGCCAGTTGTCCCCAGTGCCACTGATCAGGTGCTGCTTAAGCTGCAGAAATGCAAACTGATATTTGCACTGCATCTAACTGGAACAGGTTTATGAACTGGCAGCCCTCCAATATTGTTGAATGACAACTCACTCATCCCTCCCCACTGGCCCAGCAGATGGAGGCTATAGGAATTGAAATTCTGCAAAATTTGGAGAGCCCCAGGTTCCACACCCCTGAATTAGGGCATACCCAGAGGATCAGGTTGAAGTGAAGTCACTGCACTGAAGAATTTAAACACCTTTTCAGGATGTGCATTCAAAAATCAAGCTCTGCGATTTAGAATCCAACTGATGTTGCAATAATCGCTGGCAAAAAAACCAGCGTTTTTCATTAGACAAAGTCAGAAATAGCCAGTGAGCATTCCAGAAACATTTCTCTTTGCCCTGTTTGACTTATTCAGTTTACAAAATAGGTAATCTTTGTCACCACATGTTGAAGCTGTTACTGCTTTCAAAATGTTTTGACCCAATCCAAAATCCATGCATGTTAATGGCAGCTTCCTCCAATTTCCTTAAGAAGGTGGGAATGCAAACTGGAAAAACACGTCCAAATCTTGTCATGTATTTATCTGGGCGCCTTAGGCAAGCCACCTCCAGCGACTCCATTCCTCTCTTCCAAATAATGCTTAAGGCCTCCTTTAAAAGGGTGTTTAAAGGGCTGCCAAAATCATGCATGTAAGGCTCACATATTTTTATTCCTCAGGAAACTCTGCATAAATATTTATATTTATCAGCAACAGTGTCTTGACGATACAGGCCTGACACCTATTTCTTTTGAATGAAATCTTGTTCAGAGGAAATTCTCCCTGAACAGCACCATTTTCAGCCAGCTCTGCTCCCCGGCATGTGAACAGCGCCTGTTACGGACATGGGAAAGAGGCACTCTATTATACAGAGAGAACCTAAGAACAAATCCCAGGGCTCCAGAGAGGATCCCAAGCTGTGCATGGCTCAGGGAGAACAAAGGAAAGGGGTATTAGCGATGCTAGAGTGACCCACTTTACTGAATTCACTCAAGGAAGAGAGTCCAGCATCTGCCAAGCCTGTCTTTGCCTTTGGAACATTTTAATCTTTAATCTGCTCTATCCAACTGTTTCACAAAGGGCCATAATAACTAAATGGGAAGCTGGCATTCTGCAAGGCAACTGTTGTCTCTAAGGCAATTGTTACTTAGAAAGATGCTGCTGTTTCCGTTGACAGATTGGCTATACAACTGAGAAGAGCTACGTGCAACGTTCACTCTTTTACTAGCCCTTGCCCTCCCCCCCACAAAAAAACCCTGCTAATGCTTCTAATTAAAATAGATATGGTTACATAATCTTTCTTGGCATGCACAACCCATTTGTCTCTGTTACTGAGTCAACCCAAGAAAATTCAATTGGTTGTTAGCATACTTTAACAATGAGTTATGAAGAGTTGGCATAATCTAAAAATCTGCATGTTCCTATACCTGGTGCCATTAATACCGCCAGCTTCTTACTTTGTGGCATTTTTGTTGTTTCGGCAACAGCAGATTATACCAAAAGTTAAGCCACTGATAGAATACAGAGGTGTTTGGCTCTTTTGGGATGAACACAAAAACAAGGTACAAATGGTTAGAACTGTTAAGGATGCCCTTGGGGTTGCCAGCTAGTGGCAAATCATTCTGTTACAGTATTCTCTGTTCCGATACTTCCATTTCCACCATCTGAATAGCTAAGACCACCATAGGTGATCCTCAAGAGAAAGTCCAGGCCACCAGACAGGAAATGTTTTTAAACCCTTTGCCTAGAAATGCAGGCAGTTCAAGGTTTACAGTACAAGCGAGCTCTGCTGCCTCAGCAAGATACAATAATGCCATTGATCCATGAGGGCTGGTGAACTGGCATTAAAGCTATTCTGCTGCAATGGCCATAGACCCATCCAGCTTTAGAGGAAGGAGTGGGGAGAAAACTAACAATGGAGCAAAACAGATTTCTCTGCCTCAGGAGTGAACAAGGGCTGGTGCTTTGCTTCCCAACCTCCTATCGCTGAGAAAGTGTGCAATTTCCTAGTTTACATAATTCTCAACATCACTGAATGTATGTGTGGAGAGAGGTTATGCCAATTTTTGCCTCTATTTGCATCTTTCGGGGTAAAAAACAAAACAGAAGCCCTAAGCAAAGCCAACACGCCCTTTATGTCGAAAAGGCCTGGCATTGGCTGTCTTATGCTGCAGGCTCCTTAAAGGCACAACTGGAAGAGCATGAAGTATATAAACACACGCGTTCTGAATGAAAGAAAGGCTCACTTTGTTCCCAGGGGCTAGAAATTGTTTGCCTGTTTCACTGCAAACCCAGGGATGAGGAGGGGGTTATTCTTAGTAAGACGGCTGTCTGTCTTGCAAAGTCTGCTCTGCAGCAGTTCTGCGTTGTGGAAACAACTTGGCAAAGATAAGTCTTTGGCGGGTACCCAGGCGAAAGGAAGGCAGGAAAAGAAGCCGAGCAAATTCCATGCCACTACTATTTGCAGGCTGGTCCAAACGGATGACCTGCCACTCTCTGAGCTGCTATTCAGGAACAGCACTGGGATAATGCATAAGAGGCTGCAAAGGAATCCAGCATTTTCTAACACGGAAGGAAGTTTCCAGTTTTTACTCTTCTACTTTCCCAGTTTTAAAAGAGAACGCTCAGCTAATCAGTTCAAGTCTTGTTGTTTGCATTACAGTGAGCTTACTTTTCTACCCTCAGCTAGTTGCTTCACTGCCCTGATCACAGATCATGGCAAGTTGTAAACTATGGTCAGTCAGTACAATGCACAAGACCAAACCCAAATTACACAAAATCTTGGCACAATGGGTCAGCCTAGAGAGTAACAACTGCTCTGAACTCAACTGTCCATTAAAAATACAGTATTCACTGTATGCACCACCCCTCCAGGTAGTCAAAGAAGTTTGACTTTACCAGTGAGCAGGTACCCCTAACGCCACTCACTGTTTCTCTTTTCTGAGAAGCTATGAAAGAGCCGGTGCGGCATTGTTTCCAAGATCATTAGCCCAGAACAGGGATTTATGTAATCAAGTCTGGCAAGTAAACTTTATCTATTCTACCCAGTGATATTATTCTGGTATGCTGCATATGTCTTCTGAGAAACAGATAAAAAAACGTTTACTCTTGCAAATCTATACTAAGATAAACTAAATGAGATTCCAACTGTAGCTACGCCCTTCTCATTACATGAATAACTTCAAGGTTTATAGCTGTCTGAACTGAAACTATGTGCCTCTGATCTCAGGCTATACCGTTAAATGAAGGTGTGCCAAGACAGACAAAGGTAAATTAGCTAATTTAATGTTTCTTCTGCTCTGTATCCATGAATGTCTTTTTGTCGTTGCTGCTGCAAAACCTTTCTAGTTTTAACAGATGTACAGTAAGTAGATCAGCAGATAGAAGGGTAAGAAAATGTTCATTTACCAGATTTCAGTTTCTTATGAGGCTGTAAAAAGTCACAGCCAGGAAAAAACAAAATAAAACAAAAAACAGCATTTCTAACATCAAGAATTAATCTAGGAATTTGCTGTTTCAATCAACTATTCTCTGTACTGACATGTGCGAATTCGGACACATTTTTAAAAGTCAAGGGTTTTTTTTTATAACAACAAATAATTTTTTATAACAAATACAAATATGAAATAATTCTATCAAGAAGTAGTATGTGTCGGGGGCAGAGTGGAGACAAAGAGAAAGAGAGAAAGAAGCTGCATAGGATTTATATTTTTTCTCCTGCCCTCTGTTAAAAACTAGTCTAAAAAGACAAAGCAGAAACAGTTCACAAATAAATTCCAATCATATTGACCTGAAAAATTATTCTGAAACCAAGAATATGACTACTTTAAGTAAACCCAGACCAAATATTTTTCCTTCCATTAAGTTAATTGGAAATTGTTTCTTTTGGGGAAACCTTTGAAGAAAATAAAGCTAGAAAGCTTTCCCCATTCATCATCCAACTTTAGGAGGCGAAGAGAGTGAGAAGCTCTGTCTAATGAAAAATGGGGACGCACACACCACACAACCTGCTGCTTGAGAAATGTGCACATGCAAACCTATTACTTTTAAAGGAAAATAATCTCAGCATACACAGAGATACACTTACAAACAGTTCAGTTAAACCTGTCAAATGTCTATAATTCTACACATTCTTTGTAGTAAGAAATAACTTGTCCACTATCGAGTACACATATTTAGAAGAATATTGTACTAGGATGACTTACAACTTTCAAATTTCACTATTTTTAGTGCTGGCATTCCTTCCTCCATAGGAAGTTTCTGCAAGTTAATTTGCTTTCTAAAGTTGTGATTAATATTAATGACAGTAACTAAATACACATTTTCTTTTCAAAAAACTACATTCCCAATTGCCAGGCTGAAGCAAGTTTTTATAAAGTTTTCTCATATCTATGTGGAGACAAAAAATTGAATTGTATTTCATGAAGAAGTGTCTGTTGACCTTTACTTCACATTTGAAAAATTAGGCCATGATAGTCCCTCTCTTCTCCTGGCTGTATCTTTCTTGGCCACCCAGAATCCCTTCTAAATCATCTCATTTCAATGATGAGGAATACCAATTGCAACTGCTAAATGCACAGCAGCCATATGGCTGAAGCCTAGCAACCTCTAATCTAGATGCAACTTTTTCAATAAGATTTCCTTCTGGAATTAATCATTTGTGACCACAAAATGTTATACTGACCTCTGTACATCCCAAAATATCCTTCAGACCGGATTGTTTTAATAAGGCAGTCAGACCTGTTGGAAAGATGGATGAAGCAAAGAGTCATCAGACCATTAATACACACCACAAAGCTATTCAGCCTTCTCAAAATCAGGGTACTCCAGATATGTGGGACTGCAACTCCCATCAACATAACCAGCATGACTGGACTTACAATACAGCACAGCTGAGAGCAAACAGATTGGAAAGGCTGCGCCAATACCATTTCAGGATCTAGATGTACAGCTGTCATGGGTAGGGAAAGGGAGGGAAAGAGGGGTACTTGTTCAGACTCTAAATTGCACGAAAAGTCATTACAAGGCATGCTTTGACAGCCCCAAAGTTGACCACCAATGACAAACCCTGCATCACAACATCACAACAGAAACTCCACCCTTTCCTAATGTATGTCTTGACATTGGACACAAGTTTGTAAGTTACAGGGTTTGCATCATGATGTCACAATGCACATTTTGTCACTTGCCACCTCTTGATTCCCCTCAGCAGATGCCTACGTCGGAAAACTCTCTAGCATTACACTGTGCCAGAATTTCATTCATATTCCAAACTTTTTAAAAACAGCTCTTCTTTGACAAGAAGAGAGTTATATAAGCCCTTAAAAAAATAAGAGAGAGAAATCAAGTCCAGGTACAGTGAAAAATAAGAACATTTCTCTCTCAAGAATATTTTGCTTTTCACAAGAAACATCAATCCCTTTGAGAAACACCTGAAGCTAAATATAAAGTCATAAGCAAAATACTTCCTCAACCACCTGTTTGCTGAAACTTTGAGGCAAACAACCTTGACGAACCATTCTTTTCATACTCAAGTAGAGTTCAAACACGTAGACTTCAAACATCCTTTGCATGCTAAGTGTTCTAATTTTAAGTCAATCATGTTGTATATATTATAAGCAGGATGCTTCTTTCTTTAAAAAACTAATTTTACAAGTTGACCATTTCTGTAGTAAGAGAATAATTATTTGCTGGAGATTTGAATTCAGCATGGACTCTTGTTGGAGGTGGGCTCTTGAACATAAGCAGAGTGCTGAAAGAAAACAATCTGGGAGGGAGGCAGAGAGAAAAGGGAAGGGAAGAGACAGGAAGCTCCCTTTGTCTCATAATCGCAGAGACTTATTTAACTAAGGACAGGCCAGGTGAGAGAGACCCAGAGGCAGTGTGTGAAGACTCTTTTCCTCCTCTCTCTCTGCCTTAGTATTCAAAAGGCTCTTGGTGCAAAGAAATGATGATCTCCAAAATCAACTTTATAATAAAGCCTGAAGACCACTTTCTCTAGCCTGGAAATGCCTGATGTGATAACATAAAAATTTGTAACATAGGCTGAAATTTATCTTCCCAGCTGCCACTTGCACGTGTCAGGGGAGCTGTAGCCAACAGATTTGAATAAACAAGGCTCTTTTAGCATTCCCATTCTATTGGTTCTCTCCTGTTATGTATTAAGCATCTTTGATAGTAAGGATTACTGTATTAATCTTTCAGTGACCTTCCTGCTTGAAACATGAAAGGGCAATACCCAGGCAATGGAATGATGCTTTTAACATTTTTATCCTACAATAATCCTGTGAGATAAATCAGGCTGAGGGAATGAGTAGCCCAAAATATACCCAGTGATCTTATGTTCATGACTGAGTGCGAAACAGATCTTCCCAGTCCAAACTGGAAACTTTTATCCTCCTATTTTCTCCAGATGCAAAAGGATCACAACTCCAATTGGCATGTCCAACCAATGTCTTCTAGGCAAGTTGGGCTACAGTTCTCACCACTTCAGCATGGCCAAAGCTGATCTGGTTATTAAAACTCATATACCAACCAAGAGGGAATGCTCAGTTGATGAAGCGGAAGCAACTGGGACACTGGGGGAAAATGAGCATGTAACCCTAGAATTCTTGATATTACAGGATACTAAAGCTGAGCATACCCAAATGTACATCATAGACCTCAAGAATATAAGTGTTAACAAACTCAGAGCAAAGATAAGGAAGATTCCATAGCAGGAAAGGAATGGAAAAAAGGAGGTGGAAGGGTTACCTATGAAGGACTATAGGAGGTAAAAAGAGGGACAAGTGATCATGGAAAATTTTAAATAGAGAGTTTGGAATTCTAGAGATGGTATCAGAAACATCATAGCTCAGAAGGAGCGGAAGTTGCTGAAGGATGCGCAGGGACAATAAAAACGGCTTTTCATGTATGTTAAAAAAAGGAAGAGAAAACAAGCAGTATACTAACTATTCAGTGAAGATGGTAAAATGCTAACAGGTAACAAAGAAAAGGCAGAACTAGGCAACTCTGACTTTGGTTCAGCATTGTCTGACAAGGATATAAATGAGCAAGATCAAAACTTGAGATTGATAGAAAGATGATCAAACAATATCTGTTTATTTTGAATGAGTTTATATTGTCAGGGTCAGATGAATTGTTCCATGGCTGAATTGTTATACATTTGAAACAATGTGGAGAACAGAGTTTTCTGATGAAATGTCAAATGACCGGAGAAGGGCAAATACTGCCCCTATCTGAGGAACTAACAACTACTTGGTCTGACATCAATACGAGGGAAACTTCTAGAGAAGATCAGAAAGAAATCAAGTTGCTTACAAATCAAATCAATACAGTGATTATCAGAAGCCATAATGGATTTGTCAAGACTATGTTTTGCCAAACTAATCTTATCTCATTTTTTACCATATAACTTCCTTAAGTAGACTGTGGAAATCCCATAGATATATTTAATATTACATATTGTTGTAGGCAAATTTCAGAAAAGCATTTAACAGTACTTCAGGACATAGAGATTAGCACACAATGAAGTGTGTGCTGCCTGGCACAACACATTGCATATACTAATACATAGCTGGCTCCAGAGTGCACTAACAAAGCTCAACAACCGTTCCTCATTAGACTGGAGGGTGGCATTAAAGATTCAGCCCTGGGCTCTGTACTGTTTTTTCTTTTTATGGGTGACTTGATGATGAGGTGGAGAAAATACTTATTAAATTTGTAGGTGAAATAAAAGGGGGATAAAATAATTTGGTGCAATGGTCAATGCACCAGGCTAGAATCCGGGAGACCGGGAGTTCTAGTCCCGCCTGAGGCACGAAGCCAGCTGGGTGGACTTGGGCCAGTCACTCTCTCTCAGCCCCGGGAAGGAGGAAATGGCAAAGCACTTCCAAAAAACCTTGCCAAGAAAACTGCAGGGACTTATCCAGGCAGTCGCCAGGAGTCAAAATTGACTCAAAAGCACAAACAAATAAAAAATTGAACAGCCTAGAGGAGGGAAATAAGATTAAAAATTATTTTGATAGGGTTGATGCCAAAAAATGCAAATGAAATTTTAGGCTTCATCAATAGAAGTATATTTTCCAAGTCACAACAAACTGGCATTTCATTTCATTGTATGTTGTTGAACCCTACCTTGGGTACTGTGTACAGTTCTGCACACTTCACTTTAAGGAGGATTCAGAGAAGCTGGTAAAGCTTCAGATCAGCAAGTAAGATATGATAGTACTCTTCAAGGACCTGAAAGGATGTCAAGTGGAAGAATGCCACTAGTGATCCGTGTATTGGATCATGGAGTTTGGAATAGAACTGGGGAGACCCAAGCTCTGTCCACATTTAGCTGTGAAAGTGGATGACTTTGAGCCAGTTCCTTTCTCTTAGCCCAGACTACCTCACAGGGCTATTTTTGTGGGAGCAGAATGAAGGAACATTCCCGTGAAAGTCTCCTTGAGCTCCTAGAGAAAAGGGTTAGGGCACAGGAGTCTAAATAAATAAATAAACAATTATACCATATCATCCCAGAGATTAGAGCTTTGAGCAATGGATTTAAGTTACAGGAAGGGACATTTCAACTGAATGTTAGGAAAGATTTCCTAGCACTGAGAGCATAGTTGAATGAATTACCCTGAGAGATGGTAAGTTCCCCCTCACCGCACGTGCATTCACAAGTGTTCTAATGGTGAATGACAAGCACTGGATTTGCTCATCTGTCACTGATGCTTTAATATGGATTCTTGCACAAAGCAGGGGGCTGGACGCAATGGCCTGAATGGCTGCTTCCATGATCATTTTATGTTACTTTATTTTATTTTTTATTTAAATTTATTATAGTCCATATAACCCGACTCCAATGTATTATATGAGTTATGTTCCTCTGAGTGGTGATGCAGAAATATCTCTCATAAGCACCCAACTCTTAGATTATTATAAACTACTATTAATAATAGCGCTTAAAAATCCCCAGTTAACAGAAACACTGTGATGCAGTGTTGGCGAACTAACTTCAAATCTAGGTTCCACTAAAAATAGGCAGCCTGGGGAATCTCAGTAAGCAGCTCCACAGGAGTTCTGTGCAGACAAATATTACATAAGCAGTTCACGCAAAAGAACAAGTGATGAAACAATAAGAATGAATGAATCCTTTCTTTTGTCTTTAAATGTGCAGGGTACTTACATACTGGTGTACATCCTCTGGCCATTCTGTTGGTTCTGTAAACGTGTTTTTGCCAAGTCAATAGGAAACACACAGGTAACCCCAATGAGACCAGCTATGCCTCCATTGATCAGCTTGGCAGGTAAACTGTAAAAAAAAGAGCACAGAGGTACATTCCCAAGAAAACAGCAACCCAGCCACAAAAAGCAAGAGAAATGTGGATAAATGCCAGGCTGCTGCAGCATCTTAAAACTATGGTACTTTTGGAGCAAGTTGACTGTATCAGTTGAAGGGGGGACCAACTCATGGTAGGTTGTGCTACTTCAGTTTATCACTAGACTCAAAACTGACTGTGTTGCAAAAGATTTAACTCTTTTGGAACTGATCAAACCCTGCTCCTGTTAATTCAAGAACACTTTCTATTCTGTGTATGTGTGGTCATTTCCTCTATCTTTATTTTTCAGAAGTCTTTTTGTAACGCTTCTGAAAGTCCACTCTCCAATGGTATATAAAGCTTGCATCTCACATTTATTTCCACAAGTCCAGAGCGGCTCATAATTTAGGCAACTCTAGGCTTCTACACTGCACTAAGGATAATTTGCTTAACTTTAGTTTAATAAGCCAAAACTGGCTAGGTTCATACAGTGCTGTGCCACAAATTATATAGGTTACAACCCACAATGGCAACATGTTAAGCCAAACTCAATAAATAACACTACAGCTTGATATAATGTGTAAATCCAGATAAAAAATCATAAAACTCAGAGTCTTAATTTTCAAAAAGATAAAAATTTATTTCAGTCAAGCTTGGCTTTTACTAATAACATAGATACCTCACCAAGATCGCTAGGTGCTGTGAATTATAGCTTTTACTCAAGACATCTCACTGAGTTCAATGAAAGTTAGCTGTCAGACAAGCATGTAACCCTCAAATCTACAGGATTCCCATGTTTATCACACTTAATTGAAAGAAAGAAAAAGGAAAATCGGGGATTTATAGAATCCTTACAAGAACTGCAACTGCATAAGACCTGTATGGAATTCATCTGGCTGTCCTTGTTTTAACAGCATCGTTGACTTTCGAGGAGAACGGCCAAAATTAGAAGGCCAATTTCTAAAAGGGAGAAGGAAAAGGCAGATACCCACAAACACCCATCCGTATCCAGCCTCAGAAAGTACAGCAGATACTGCTCAGCCTGTACCGGGAATGCTTACTAGACAGGAAAGGAAAGAGGGAGACAAGAGAACCAATTCAGCCAGTTGGTTAAAGAACTCTGAGGATTTTCAAAAGACAGACAGTTGGAGGTGTACTATGTGGATTTGTAAGAAAAGACAAAACGTGTGGGAGTCTGAAGGTCAAATACGTGCTTCAAAAATATAGTCAGCGATGACCTTTCCTCCAGATCAACTGCTATACCACCTGAACTACCTTGGGTCACCTTGGAAGTTTAGAAGATTAGAGAAACATCTCAGAGTACATAATCCAATGCAAATCCCATTCTGCTGCTGAACTCTTATAAAGCTGATGCAGAAAATATTCCTATAAACAATGTGGGGTTGTTAATCTTTATTTAAAATGAAAGTAAAGCAATGTTTGTTTTTATTTTGAGCACTTGGTGCTTGAATCAAAGACAGGAACTGTTTAAGACTCCACTATATGACAAGCCTGCAATTCTGTATTTAATCGATAGTTCTTTCCAGAGAATCTTCATATTCTGCATTTTTTCTAAAAACTACCCCAATCAAAAAAGGTGCCAATAAAAAAAAATTGGTAACTTTCCTACAACTGCAGCTCTTCTGGTGGTCATCTATACATTTACAAATATGGGTGATTTGCCTGTTTCATTTTATTTTCATAAATATATATTTATTTTCATTCTGTTTCATTCAGAACTTTCTAGAGCCTGTTTGGTGGGGACTCACCTCCCAAGCAACTAGGTACAACACCCACCTTCAGTTCCTAAGATTGATGCAGTGGATCCAAAGGAACAATAAAGTCACCATGAAATAGGCCAAGTCAGAGGGCAGGTTGTGGGAATTCCCAGATGACCACTTGAAGAACTAAGATGCATAAGAGTGTGCTATGGAGGAATAGATGTCAAGCAAGATATGTCCTGAATCTCTCCTGAGATGATTTCCGTGTCTGAAAAGCAGCTGGGGAGGAATGAAGAGTACAAACTGTAGAGTTCATCAACAGCTAGACTGATGGTAGCAAAGTTGGTGAATAATCTGAGGTTACTGGAGCTGGAAAAAGTAAGGCAACAGGGCCTTTATCCTTTTGTTTTGTCCCAGATTGGAATTCAATGAGACAAGCTTCTCAGAAGGCCTTGAAAATTGACAAGTTGCTTGAGGCAAATAATGGCACAACAGAGATCTAAGAGGCCTCAGCAGGCAGTGGGGAATTCAACTGATCTCTTGAAGAGATGAGAAAGCTGCCAGATTATTTGGGGGCACAGTAGGACTCTTAGAGAAATAAGTAGTTATAACAGCTTTTGTGTCTGCTGCCCTCAAAGCTTGCAACCAGAGAGTAGTTTTCAAATGAGACAAGCCTGTTTAACAAATGCATGGCATTTACACATGGGGGAAGAGTTTGCCCCTGCAACATTGGTACATGTAGAGTGGGATCCATTAAGAAACTGCCTAGGATAGGAAAAGAAGATGTTGTGACAAAAAGCTCTAAGGAATTTTGAAGAAAATTGAGAGATTAAAGAAAATAAGAAAAAGCAAAACTACAGCAGGACAATCAGTTCCTCAGCAAACTAACACTCTGTTAGTCAAAACAAACTAAAGACTCCTGGGTGGGAGCCCTGCCTGATCACATGTTCTTTTTCCTTCAGTTTATTGGTTACTCATTAGTCAAACAACCATATCAAACAAAAAGTATGGGATGGGTGGGACTGGGACTCCTGCCAATTTTTAAGTTTTAGAATGGGGCTCTAGATAGGCACATCACCCTTGTATATGATTCACAGAGACCATGGTGAAGAACTCTTCTCTGAAAACATTAGATGGGGTGGCACTAATTGACTACTTACAGTCAGCTGTAGTCAATTCAGATCCCTGACAAATCTGTCTTACTCTATGAGGGAAGGAGAAGTACAGGGGGAGGCAACAAAAAAGAGAGAGAGAAAGAGAGAGAATTAGTGGCCTCACACACTATTAAATCCCCCCCACTGCTTAAATCCCACCTACCACTGACATCCAGTCCTCTACAGATTCCTCCCAAGGGAATTAAAATTTGCTCATCTATCCCTCAGAATCCTAACATCTTTTGACACAAAACTGCATTCATTGTCTAATCAAAAGTTGATCCATCAATGCTTGTCTTGGGAGAAAATTAATTTATGGAGCTATTCTTGAAAGACAATATTATAATGGTGAACCTAAGCAGAACTGAAGAATTAGAATGTCTTTTAACAAAGAGAAATAAAAAGTAAAAGCTGGCTCAAGTTTTTGGAAGCTGTTAACTGTGTTCTGGTTGAGGATGAGCCTTGTAGTGGATTCAGAGGTTCATTGGGAATAAGGTTCCTTAGGGAGCACTGCAAAGCAGAAAAATCGAATCCATGCCTAGCAACTCACTAGAGCATGCTAACGTTGACTGTAATGGCCTACTAAGTATATGTTTAACAAAATGCAAGCAGGAATTCAGTTCCATTCTAAGTTTTTTTTTTTTAACAGACATACTTGAGCATCATTCATTATTATGACATCACAAATCAACCCAGTATTTAAAGGGTTGTCTCAGTTTAAACCCTAAAATAAAATAATTTTATCTACTAATCAACTGTAAATTTGTACAATACAAAATATTGTGACTTATTAAGGAAATTGCTATGCCGTAAGTAATATTACTGTATTGAGGACACAGCTTGATGACCGTACCCCAATATATATATATATGCTGACTATCAAAAAGGATTCACTTACTTTACATGTAATATGCAACAAAGATTTTTTTTAAAATCTAGAGAAACTGAAGGAATATATTACATTATATTATTTCATACATTATTTCAATCACCTTTTTATTCCTCTACTGGAAGAAGTATACGCAAGGGCCTGGACTATCAATATTCCTGATACACATGTAATCTCTTCTTCATCTTGCACCCTCCACAGTTTTCCATCATTTTAATCATCCTGTCCAGTCTCATCTGTTATAGCTGCAATATCCTCTGAAGGGTCATGCTGCTTTCCGTTTGTATCCAGGGAACAAATATACACATTTGCATTACACATCATTCTGATATAGATACAGTAATAATGATGTGAACCTTCCTTTGTATTGCAGCTACTGGCTAGGATTTCCTCTTATTTTTATTCTGGAACTATAACATATAATCAGCAAATAATACAAGTAGCATTTCAAACAAAATCTCAACCTCCTGGGTATTCAGAAATCCCCATATTTATAGCCATACATCTTCAGATGTAGAAGATGTAAACACATTCTGGGTTTTGGTATGGCCCAATGGTGTCCCCTAAACCCTTTGGGAAGTTGATCTAATGTCTAGATGGGATTTCATACAATGGCCAGTGAAAATGAGGATTGTTAGGAAGACAGATTCATATGCTGCATACTTGTCTGATTGCCTGGTAGCCCAAGACATCAGAAATGGAGAAGTATGCTTCACTAGGAAGACTATTACTTTGCACAAGAGGCTGATTTTCACTTAATCTGTACATTTTACAAAACTAAGGGCAGTTCTCAAGTAGGAGAAAAAGACAAAAGAGGAAGTCTCAGTGGGAAGGATCTGCCTAACAATATCCCAGCAGAGGTTCCAGTTGATCCTTCTTCGATAAACCAGCCTAGGATGCTTTCTGAAGATGAGCTGAAACCCAAGATCTTACTCAAGCCGGTAATAAGAAATTTGTCTAGCTAGGCTGGCTGATTTTATTCTGGAATTCTCAACTATGTGTGATTGCTACCCTCCTTTATTTTCCTGCTTTGCCCTTTTCCTAATAAATACCTTTTCATATCTAGAGATTTGGCTCTGCTGGTTTAATAAGGCAATTTGTCATTAAAATCTTCCCATGTGTAAGACTGTACAGTTGCTCAGCTATCCTCTGGACTTCAGTCCAAACATTTATTCATTTAAGATTATAATCTGAAACCTCACACCTTGGTTTCTCAGGCAGGAACCACTTACAGAGGGAGGATATGTTTTCAAACATGTAATTGTCCATGTGGAAATAGAAGTTCTGTTGTACCATGGGACGAGTGTACTTCATGAATGTCCACTGTTCGAATTAGCCCCTAATTCCTCTTGTCCTCTCCCAACAGAAGCATATTAAGGATAACAAAGGCAAGAACAAAGCAGCCTTCCTCAAATTCTGCTTTCTCATTGGGGATTATTGGATTACAATTCACCATCTCCATCCAATATTGCCAAAGGTTATGTTTGCTGAAGATGACGGGGCTGCAGTCCAACATATATAGAAAAAGCCAGATTAGGGAAAGCAGAAGTAAAGGCAAAAGGACAGAGAAAGGAAGATTTATTTTGGAGTTAGAGACAGGGAATAAGGAAATGGACTATGTAGTGACAACACAGAGGAAAGAGTTGGAGAGAATAGCTGAGAGAGGAAAGAAAAAAGCTCTTACCTAATCTGTTTATCAGCCATTTAATTTAGTTCTGATCTTGTAGAAACAAGATTTATTCTTCCAAAAATCTTCTAAATCTTTGGAGCTCCAATCACCTAATTCCTGCAGTTGGTTTTCTAGAAGAAGATAGAAATAACACCAACATTATTACTTTTAGTCACGGCTATCAGCTCTTTGTACACAGTAAGAATGTTTTGATAAAAGTTTCCCACATATTTCCAAGAGAGATCTGCTGAAATTTCATACAAAATGGATAAAATAAAGAAAAATGCACCTTATTCAAATTGGCCATGAATAGTAAGATGAAATATATCCTCGATCATTATTTTTATACTTCAGACATGTTACTAATCTTACTCCTGACCATTCTTTTTATTTTGCAATTTATACCAAAGTCACAAGCAACCATTTCCTTTTGTACTGCTAACTTTAACTCATATGGAAACATCATTTAGATATTTCAGATATTTACCACATGGAGTGAAGATATTTTTCAACATATTCATGGAAAGGACATTTCAAGCTCTTTCTGCTACTCACTGAAGTAAGTCAACAAGCTCAGCTGAAAGAATGACAGCAAAATCTTACCCGCCCACCTCCCATATTGCACTAAGGCATTTGCCAAATGTGGAAAGGATAACAAGAGAAGTGAGGCCGTCTGCCAGAAGAAAATTTGATGCAAAGGACACAAGGAAAATAAAGGGAGAGAAAAAAAAATGTGGTTGTTTATTTCTTCTTCAGATGAACTTCCCATGAAGCAACTATACAGCAAAAGAAGTAGCAACAGTCTTATGCAAATCCAGAAAAATAACTGAAATGTAACTGCTTGGATTTCCAGGTCTAATTCACATAAACCCAAGTTCAGTACCTCTCAAAACCCAAACCATGGTGGTCTCCTGAAATAAAAAGAGCATGATACCTAAAAACCATCTAAAAATGACTATGGTTGAAGTTTGTTTATGCTTAAGAACTGGGCTACAAAAATAGACTTTGGCTAAGAAATTATTAATTCCTCAGGATGAACACCTTAACAATAACCAGTCTGGTCAAGTGGTGAAGGCCCCAGGCTAGAAAGCAGGAGACGGTGAGTTCTAGTCCCGCCTTAGGCATGAAAGCTGGCTGGGTGACTTTGGGCCAGTCACTCTCAGCCCAACTCACCTCACAGGGTGGTTGTTGTGGGGAAAATAGGAGGAGTATTAGGAATGTTTGCCACCTTGAGTTCTATAAAAATGATAAAGGTGGGATAATTTTTTTTTAAAAAAATATGCCAAACTGTCTTTCAGCTCTCTCCAAGATCGTATAGCAGACAACAACATTCCTATATGGTACTAGAAATCTCTCTGGGTCTAAGGGTAGGTTACTGTAAAAAAAAAGAGAGTTTAACTATTCCCTCTAAATATATTGGTATCAGACCAGGACCTTTGGAAAGTACATTTTCCAAAAGGCAAGAATGAAAATATAATTTTGTAAGTTCTATGTACAAAGTGGTGCTCAAAACTTACTTCTGCAGCAATAATTACACTTTTTGAACAATCATAGAGTTTCTCATAAGTGAAGTGTGACCATGATGCTTGTTTTGTTTGATTAGGTAAGACAGAAAGTAATTTCATATATAAATTTGTTCTTAATAACTAAGCATTGGGAGATTCACACATAAAAGTGAACAGCTGTTTTAAATCCAGCATGTTACAGAAGTAGTGCACCACAAGACACCAGAAAGAACATCACAAAACGTATCAACAGAAGTAGTCCACATATTCATTTGAGCCATCAAGTGATCTCATCAAGTGATTTATTCATTTATTTAGCATTTGTCCTGCTTGGCTGCAGGGTCCATGTGTTTGCGTGAGCTTCCCTAGTTCTCACAGCAAAGTCATCAATACATGATGCAACGAGGGGTTTGTTTTTCAGCCAGCTTATTGTAGAGCCTGACACAGCTTGGGGGCTGAGAGAGAGTGACTGGCCCAAGGTCACCATCTGACTCCTGGGGCTAAGTGGGGACTAGAACCTGGGTTCCCTTGCTCCTTGTCCAGCTTCTTAACCACTATACCATGCTTGTTCTCCACCAAGTTATTTTTATATATATATATATTTTTTTTTTCATTCATTCATTCATTCGCCATCCATAACCATTGTAATTTAGCTTTTAGCTACAAAATGATAATAGAAGCACAGCATACAAAACAGAACAAAATTGAAGAATTCAACCTTGAAAACACTGTACTAAGGAGGCAATGAGTGAAGACAAAACAAAACCATTCAGTTTGTATATAATCGTATTGCGAAAACCTCCCTTTGAATATTCAACCGTGACAGCTATGAAGTACTCAGTGATTCACTCTTAAGAGAGATCCTTCTAGATAGAGCCCTGTTGTACCCTTGCATTCCCACACATAATTGGGCTAGGGATGATTGTTATCTGGAGAATTAGCCAACTACAAATTTAGGCTGAAGATTTATTCTCTTGACCAATAACCCTACCCACAGATCAGAAAGGCAAAGTGACATGCAAGTGTTCAAAACTGTTCCCTGCATAGCACAGCTACATTCTTCACCAATAACGAACAGAAACAATAATTCTGTTAGTAACTAGGAAATCTATGCCTGCTTTTTAGAGTCCATTGGTAGTTACAACTGAAATTATAAGTATTTCAGTTCATGGGAAGGTAGGAAGGCAGAGACAATGAACTATAGGCCAGCATTTCCAGGGTTAAATCTGAACTATCTGCATCATTTTTTATGTATTGTTTCTCAGCTCTACAGTCAGGACTGCAACTCAACCACCAGTTCCCATCTGGTGATTCAGAGCCCCTCATTTATTCTCAGAAAGATTCACATTCAAAGAGCTGCAAAGCCAGAAGGCACATTAGCAACCAGCTGTTAGCTTTGCTAAGCAAGCCATCCTTTCTCCTAGAGCCTCTTCACAATCACACCTTTGGAATTAGTCACACTGCTCCCTTTCAATGCTGTGAGGAAATTCTGAGTTGCCGCAATATATTCTAAAAGAGAATGTGGAGGTTGCTTATGGTGATGATAAGGAGGGGGCCTTCATACGTTCTGGAAAAGGCTACAAGGGTTGCAACCTTCTTGTTACAGTTTCTTGCCACATTTTTGGCTTAGGGCATCCTGTGAAGCCAGGAAGTTGCAGCTTGTCTAATAAACTATGGTTAACATACTTAGCATGGCACATGACATAGTCAATGTCTACTCTCAGGTTGTCTAGGATCACATCTTAAATGGGGAGATAGCAAGTCACAGCCTTTATCCTGCTAAAGCAGTGTTTCTCAACCTTGGCAATTTTAAGTTGTGTGGACTTCAATTCCCAGAATTCCCCAACCAGCATGCTGGCTGGGGATTTCTGGGAATTGAAGTCCATACATCTTAAAGCTGTCAAGGTTGAGAAACGCTGTGCTAAAGTAATGCACCAGCCACAAATATTTTATATCCCATGTGACCAGAGGCATTTTTAGAAAATAAAATAATAGATACTCATTGCTCAGAGCCTTTGTGAAAATGAACCTACCTGTCCTCCAAAATGGCAATGTTAAGTTAGAAGAAAGCATTCTGAGAGAGTAATCTCAACTTACTTTCTGAAAAATGAGTGTTTTGTGAATGGCAGATGTTTTGCAACAGTATGCATAACATGTTCTCAACATTACAAATTTGTGTCCTGGCTCCCAAACATTAGAAAACCCTAATCTAATAAAGATCTATATACAAATGCCCCAAGCTTTCATCCACTCAAACAAATTGCTTCATCCAAGAGAGATGCTTCAAAGGCAGTGGAGAAGAACATAACGGCAAAAGCTTTCATGAAGGAAAAAGCTGGCATGCTGCCCAATTAAGAAATATGAATTACATTACAGCGATTAGGGCACTAATTCTCACCTACAGTATTATTCAACATGAACGGTGGACAAATTGTTCGATAATTCATATAACAGACTATCAGTTTTATGCCTATTAACTATGTTAACATCTAGACATTTTTTGCAGACTATTGAAAGTAGCAAACTGTTTAGTCAACAGTTCTTAGTTTGCAAATATCTCTTGATAGGAAGGGGCCTATCAAAATTGTTCTTTGTAAAGTACCCCATATCCTATATGGTTGCTTTCCTGCCATCTTGGAGGACAATCACCTGATTCACAAGCAACCTTTTCTGAAGATGCTTCTGGATATCCATCAGAATCTTTTTCTCGGTAGTGCTGTCCTTCTCTATAGGTTTAAGCCAAACACAAATACCTACATTTGTATTACAACTGCCAAACATTTAATTTACTTATATGCCTTTTAGTATCTTGCTGACACTAAGACGTCTTCAAAATTATTCCAGATTTGATTTCCTGTTTTGGAGGCTGGGAAAATCTTTTTTTTTTTTTTAAATGATGCTCATCCCTAGAAAGTGAATAAAATGGTTGCTCAAACTAACAAAAACAGCAATAAAGTAAAAAATGTATCTGGATTTACTTACAGTGCTGTTGTGTTTTTATTTTTTTGAACTGGGTATGTTTTATATTATATTTTCTTCAATATAAGCTGCCTAGAGTAATTTTGATTGTGGCAGCAGAGAAATGTGTTAAATAAATTAACAAATAAATAAATCTAAATTGCACTGGTATATAAACTTTTGAAATGTAACTTTTCCCAACATTAAAATACCAGGATTCTTCCTGCTGAACTTCCCCTACCCACATGTTAAGGAAGAAATATCTGACAGTAACTTCCCTTGTTGTGATTCAAGTATAAAACTCTTGTCTTCTAGGAGGTGCTGACAATATCTCAGAACAGATCCATGATCACAGCTAAATTTATCTCAAACTAGTCCATTTACAAGCTCTAATCCAGTGAATTGTCCAATCAAGCTCCTGTGGTATTAACTGTACAGCACATTTTAATTCACAATGGACTAGAGCTATTTTATTTACAGCATTATAATTAGAAATCAGTACATTCCAAGCTCAATCTTATTTAGATGAACTTCACTTTTAATCAGTAAATCACCAGGCAAATCCTTCTTCTCTAGTTCATGTTCAGCCTCTCGTTTTCATCGCTACTTTTGAGCTAGGATACATGTCCCAAAGCCTAACTTCAACAGCCCTTTGCAGGAATCACTTCAGACTTTTGCTTACAGCTCCCTTTCCCTCCCCATCCTTCTCCTTGGGAGAGAAAGAAGACGATGTCGAGAAAAGGAAGTGAAAAAGTAGGTCAAAAGCAGAGGTATCAGAAAAAGAAAAGAGGTGTCAGAGAGAAATAGTATCTCGGCCTACTTTCAGCTCTGTTCATATTCCTTGCATCACCCCTGCAATCGATCCATTAATTAGCTCTGCTGCTTTTGAGGCAAAAAAGCTTGTCCACCCCTGAGCTTGGAAGTAACCCCACTTCTTCATACTGCAACTCAGTGATTCAAGAATCCATAGTTGCATTCCAACATTCTTATTTAGCCTTGTTGCTCTCTTGTGTGCTCGCACACTTTCCTTTTCCTACCTCACAGTTCTACAAAGGAGCTCCTCCACATTCTTCAGTCTCCACACAGCAGGAAGATCAGCCGCCAGAACTTTTCTGAGATAACATACTAGAGGGGAGTGATTAACCTTTGCCCCCATTTTATTACACAAAGGAAGGTAATTTATTTATTTATTAATTTAACCAATTTATATAGCCGCCCATTCTTTATCAAAGAAACACAGTCCATTTTGTTACAATATTCGTTTGGAAATCCCACTGCAAATGCTTTGTGTGCAACTACTGAAGATCTTAAAAAAAAAAAAAAAAAGAAACAAGTTACCAAGTTCAAGGTCTCTTTTCTGGATTTGGTCAGTCCATTTGGTCCCTTATCCCAGGCAAACACCCTCTCTTTCTACAGTTAACTGAAGGGGAGTTTATCTCAGCAGATGGCAGCACCTGACCAATGTCTAGTTAGCATTTGAATGGGTGACTGCCAAAAAATAACAAGGCTTTCAGAAATATCAGATCCATTCTCTGCTATTGGAAAGCCAGATAACACTGGTTTTGGTTAGCAAAGCCAACAGAGCTGAACGTGACCCACTGCTGCCTAAATCTAGGCAACTAATATCAGATAAGAATATACAAAATGGAATGAAATAGCCTTCTTAAATGCAGAACCCAAAACAGTTGAGTTGGAAATTTGTATACAGTTATTTGTGAATTACAAAATGCTTCATTCAAACAAATGTTTTTGTGATATCCTAAAATCACACTATTCTGGGAATAAGTCATTACACAAATTAATTAGAGACAGGTTTTTCAGATTTTCAGATCTTCATATGCTATCGAAACAGATGGCTGGAGAAGTGGATTTTCTGCACCCTCCCTATTGTTAACAGATTTGTCCTTCAAAAAAATACATTTATGACCTCAGTTATTCAATGGACTAAAGACCAAATGAGACTTATGAATGAGTTGCTTACTATGTATGGACCATTATAGCAAAATATGGTTATCCTTCTCTGAAACTGTTAGGATTTTTTTTTTAAAGATTGTCTGTCTGTCTGTCTGTCTGTCTGTCTGTCTGTCTGTCTGTCTGCCCAGAGTCAGTTTGGAGTGGGGCAGTGCTGAAATTGAATCCAATCAATCAATCAATCATGAATGTATGAGATGCCTCTGTATGTGTGTGAATTTTCCTTGTTTTCGTTTAATTAAAGGCCATTTTTAAAGAATCCAAAGCAGACAGCAATATATTAACTAGAACATAATTAAATCCAAGGCAAATGTCTTTTTTCCATCTCCTACCTCTCACACATTCATCAACAAGAAAAACAGATGAGAAAGTAGAATTATATCCTAAATAAATAGCAAGAGGCAGAATCTAGAAAAGAGTTACCAATATGAAAACACATTATTGATACCCTGCCTGAGCTAGAGATTAATAGAACAATTATACAAAGGATACATCTCTAGTGCCACCCTCAAGTACAAATGTACATATTGGAAACAAAGGGAGAAGATGCAAGCTTCAAATGTGAAATTATTTTCAGGGAATATTAAAAAATTCAAATTATTCCAGTGATATGCACACCAGTAACTTCACGGTTTAAAGACAATGAACAGACAGGAAATTGGCTGCTTTGCCAAAATCTGCAACAGGTCTTACAAAATTCCACGCTTGTCTTGATTCTTTTACAATCAAGCAGAGAGACTGAAGTTCTAAAAAGAGGTGTCCGCTGGATGAGGCGAGATGATGTCACATCAATGTTGTCGTGCCAGTGATGATTGGCACAAATTACATAACTTGCACCATTTGTGTGAGGATGTCATGACTTGCATCAGATACCTATGACTCTGAATGAATTTCTCTGGCATTTGGCACACAGCTTTTCAATAATATTGGAATAAGCAGCACCAACAGACAGGGTATCACCACCTCATTTTAAAAATGCAAGGAAAGGAGGTATTAGAAGTGATTCAGATTCAGAACATCAGCCACCCTGTTTGGCATTATACATATAGATCACAAAGGATATATGAAGTCAAAGAATTTGTATGCATGTATGTATGTATGTATGTATGTATTTGAGAGTTTGTAAGCCACTTCAACCAAATAGCCTTAAGCAATGTGCAGGAACAACCACCTGTCAGGGCTAGCCCAAGGAACTCCTGGAGACCGTGCAGGTTCAGTCAGCAAGATTTATTAGCTAGCACTTATTTACAGAACCTTCTCAGACTGACCAGTAGTTCCCAGTCACAAGTCTCTACTATCTTCTGGAATGTTTAGGGATGTGCCAGCTTTCTCCGCT